GCAATGACAATAAAATAAGCTAAACGCAAGAGGGCCATGGGCCGGTCATTCACTGTTTCCAGGTCGGTCCCACGGGCCAGATCTAAGCACCCCACAGGCCGAATCCAGCCCATGGGCCTTGAATTTGACACCCCTGTTCTAATCAATAAGAGTAGGGGTCATTTGGATATTGGGGAGGAGGATCTTATTCCAGAGATCAGGTGCTTTTATAGAGAAGTTATGCTTCTAGGGTCCTGAAAGAAAGCAGAGTTTCTGTTTAACTGAAAAAACCCAGAGCTGAATTAGCTAGGTAGATACTATATTTAGTTCAGGGGTCATTGGGATTATTTGGTTTGTGAATTTGCTGCAGATGGCTAATTTCTGCATCTTTTTCAGTTAAAAATAAGGCATGTTGTATATGTGTGTGTGTGTGTATGTGTATGTGTGTGTGTACGTGTATACATATATATATACATATACATACACACACACACACACGAAATCTGCTGCTGTTATTGGAATTAAAATAAAATCAGATAGTTTCTCAATATGACTTTACATTTTCATAACTAACATTATGAGGACAGAATGTACATTCTGCTTTTTGCTTAAAAGTTCCGCACCCTGATGAAAAGATATTCCTTTTATAATGCTCATGAATTCTTATCTATAGTATTATAGTCTTTTAATAAGAAAAAGAAATGAAAAAACTCTAATCTTTCCCAGTAGAACTAGAAAAAAAATGCATTTTGTTATCATAAGGAGACCAAAATATCATACCAAGTGTTACATTGGAATTCACATTTTCCTACATCCGATTTTACACAATTATATAATAAGCTGCTGAACTCATAACTTTATATTTGGATTATTAAAAAGCAAATAAAATCCTAGGCTAGGCTTTAAAATAATGAAGAACCTTTAATAACTGCCCGGTAGGTAAAAAGCCATGTTTTATGTTTGCTTCGACAAATGACACCGGTGTATTCTGTGATAAGATAAAACCCAGGGAAGAAGCAGCCATAAATTAAAGTCTGGCATCCCACCTGTTCTGCAAAGTGAATGAATAATGAAACCAACGCATGGTCAACATTGACAATGCCTCTAATCCATATTCTCTGCAAAAGGAAATTGTTATCGGAGAGAAACGATAGTGAAGTCAGAGGATCAGAAGGTAAATAGATTACAAAGATCCTCTTCTCTGAAAATGAAAGCTATGTTGGACAGAAATGACTACAGTCCCCATTTTTATCAATGGCTTATACTTACCACCATCTGAAATTTATCCTGATAGAATTATGCTGAGAATTATGCTACATAAGCAGCCAGCCATGCTGTTTCGGTTTCTACCCTATTAAGAATATGTCCAGTTTGAGGAAAAACTGTAGAACAATCCAGGGCCTTTTGGTTTCTATTCATTTTTATGAACCATAAGTTGGTATTTTATGGAGAGCTGCTGTATATACTTTTTACTTATATCCATGTCTTACTTTGTCGCCTGCCTCCATAGGAAATTTCCTGAGTTAGCCTATTCTGGAACATATCAGCAAATCTTTATTTTTGCAGATATTAAACTACTTCAAATTAATTCTCAAGTAAGCCTTTATTTTTTTTAAAAAAAAGTACAAATAGCATTGAGTATGTCGCTGAATTTGCTTGTTAACTCATTTTCACTTTTGCCTTATTTAAGCATATAAATTAAGCAATTTTAACAGGCTCCTTTTTTGCCTCTTGAGTTGAAAGAAAATTTCCTCTGTGATCACACAATACCTTTCCAGCTCTGGAAGCATTCACTTTCCATTTGAGCTCACCCAGTTACTATTAAGACTCAAGAAATGTCACATTCCATTTGTGCAGGAGAACATTTTCATGGACAGCCAATCAGAAGGTGAAGCTGAAATAAATTAAGCTGTACATCTACTCTCACTGCAACCTTGTGCAATTTATTTCTTGATAGGGTTTTCATGAAAAATCATATGCACTGATAATTAGAAATCTTTGTTTTTAACTTCTGATTTTAAAGGATTCCTTACAGTAAGGAAGCCTTGATGCATTTGCCACAGTTGTAATTCCAATGTAGCTGCTCACTTAATATTGAGAGTTCATACCATAATATAGACTTGGTTAAACACAGCTATAGCTACAGCTGAACAAACAGGTCTATGTGAAAAAGGAATAACTGCAGGCAATAAGATTATACCCAGCTTCACTATCCCTCATTTGCTACTGCTTTCATCAGTTACACTAGCCCTGCCCACTCCCATTGCAAGGACCATGGCAAACAAACTATTTGTGAGGGGAAAAAAATCCAGGGTTTTTTGTTCTAGAAATATTGATGCCATTGGCGCATTTTCTGCTATAGTGAGTTTGTTTGTTTGTTCTGCTGCCTGTCTCACTCTGAAAAATGCCTCTGGGTGGCTTACAATTAAATGACAAGCCATTAGCAAAATCCAGCAAACATCCAAAAGGGGATAGCCAACTTCCAACTGTGAATAACCAATTGTCTATGACAATTCACCATGGCCAACTCACCACGGCCCACTCACTGCAAGACAACTCGTGGGACAAGAGTTATACTAATATCAAAGAAATGGTGAAATAGAATCATTAAAGAAATGATGCAAAAGGAGGGACAGAATAAAACGTGAATGAAAAAAAGTTAAAATATTTTTTTATTTATTTTAAGTAATTAATTTGTTAAATTGTCCCACTGTGAGTTGGCCATAGCAAGTTGTCCCATGGCGAGTTGGCCATAGCGGGTTGTCTCATTTTGAATGACCATTCCTGGTTACCTGTAACAAGCTACAATACCTGTAACAAGCTACAGTAATGCTTAAATGATGCATGCGTATAATTTAAAAATGCCATTACTTGTCAAAAATGTCAGACAGCAGTATGTAAGTTGCAGCATTTTTCTGATTTACATCATCAGGCTTATGCTGTCATTTCCTTGCTTCTCTTTCCCCTCTGAATGCCTATGATTTCTAAAAAAATCTGGTATGTCATCAAGCTTTTTAAAAAATCTATCAAGTCCCGTTTTTGTGAGGAGCTTAGTGCATTATACTGTATTTATCTACTCACGAAATGGTGAAAACAGACAGACCTTCCTCTCATAATTCTTAAGCTACTGGGGGAACAAAGAGCTACCATTTTGAACATAGAAGGAGAGAATAATAAAGAACTACCTAATGTAAATGAATTTGTCTCCAGAGCCATATGGATTATATCCTGGGGTAGTTAAATAATTGGCAGAATTGATTGTAGAACTGTTCTTGGTAATCTTTGAAAACTTCATGTCTACACTGAGCAAAGTCCTTGAACAGATTATCAAGCAAACCTGTTTGTGAGAGCTTGAATTGGCATGCTACAATTAAACAGGAATCAATACAGTTTATCAAAATCGGTGTCTGACGAATATTACCCCCTTCAGTAGAGTTTCTAATTTAATAGTTCACAGGAAGGCCACAGACATAGTATATGTAGACCTCAATAGAACCTTCATCAGCTACTCATCAATGAGTAAAACATGAAGATGATATTAGTTAGATGAATTCATAATTACCTGAATGATTGAACCTAAGGAATTATCATTCATAGCATCCGTTTAGATGGTAAATATTGAGTTACATATCAGTTAGAAATATAAAAGTTCTGCATATGGTAACAAAAATGTAGGGCAGAATATAGGATGGATAGACACGCCTGGCTGGAGTACATGTGAAAGTGATCTGGGTATCCTGGTCAACCACAAATTAAATGTGAGAGAGCAGTGTAATTTAACTTCTAAAAAAGGCAAATGCTATATTAGGATATAATAACAGAAGCAAAGAGTCCAGCAGATAACTATTCCACAGGATGTAACTGTTCAACTCTGCCCTGGTCAGAATTTACTTGAAATGCTGCATGTGGATCTGGGCACCAGAGTCTAAAAAAATGGACAAAATGGAACAAGTTTGGAAGGGAATCACGACAGCAAAGAATCACGAAGAGCAGTTTAAAAAAATCTAGGTATGTTTATAACAGCAATTTTCAAACATCTGAAGGGCTGTCACATTGGAGTGAACATCCTTTTTTGCCCCAAATCAGTTAAAATATAAAGAAGGAAATCCAGGTCAGACATCAGGGGGACCCTTCTGAATGAATGATCTATCAGCCAGAGAACAGGCTGCCATATGGGGCAGTGAGTTTTCCTTCACTAAGCCCTGAAACAGATGGTGGATGTCAGAGATGATCTGATGGCCTGTGCTGAGTGAAAAGTTGACCTGGAGACTTCTAAAGTCCTTTCAGTTCTATGATTCTGAACAGTGGAATAATATTGGTTGAAGCAAAATAAAATACAAAGTTCTATGTTGTCAGCTTCACAACTAATTTTTATAACTTGTAGGAAAATAATGTATTATTCACAATTCTCACAATCCACTGCTTCATGTTGATTTTTAAGTGACCTGTAATATACTGTCTTTTAAATTGAAAACAAAAAGCTTTTAGTGCAGCAGTCAAGTGAGTATATTGTCATTTTATATACAGCCCAATTTATTTAAATCACTTATTTAAATTACTGCAGCTAGAATGAACAAACAGAATAAAACAACTGATGTATTTGTAATACACACTAATATTTCTCTTGATATGGTATAACCATTTCTTTTCAAAATGCCTACACTAAATCAAACAATATTACATGTATCCTAAATATTTTCTGCTATAGTTAAATAAAGGTACATAAAACCCACAGCATCAATTCTACTTTAATTACTTATGGGCTTAGCTAAAAACTGAAAGGATTCATAACTGAATTTTATTTGTATTTTTACCTAACTCAATTTTTTATTTGTTCAACTACTCTGAGTCACTTACAGTGAGGTGGGCAATGTGTAAATTTGATTAATAATAAATAAATATCTTCTTGCTGTCCTTCTGTTCCTCCTCTTTGACCCTAAACTTTTGAGATTACAGATTTTCCTTTGCTTGCGGTACACTATAAAAACATCCATAATTAAAAGCTTCTCTCAATTACTGACCTCGACCAATGGCCTTGGTTTGCGCTCTACTGTAAACTTGAAGTGGCAAAGTTCACAGTAATTGGTATTTGAAGATGAGAGCCAGTGTTCCAGGCAGCTGCGATGAATAGTCCCCAAGGTTCCAGTACATTCACAAGGAGAAAGCAGGTCTTCTTGACTGCTGCCCTCGTGGCAAATCCTGCACATTGGTCGGTCATTGAAAGGACTGCAAAAAAGGAGGATTAAGTTGGTGCAGGAGTCATAAATTGAAGGAACATCATGGTTGTTTGATTATTTCAAGATTGATTGTACTGTATACAGTTGAACCCAAGAACCTAAGTCATTGCTGTGCATAATCTCTTTCCAACTACCTACAATGTAATCTTACCATAGTAGAAGAATTAACAAGGCAGCCCCATTCTTTAAGAACATTCAGTCTAGTCATATAAAGAAGCAATCCTTAAATTGTATTAATGTGACCTGTGCAACATTCATTACTGCTTCCAAATAAGTCACCGTGTATGCAGTATATTGTGGAGTGAGTGAGAGAAAGGGGGGGAGAGAGGAGGGGGAGGAAGTGAGGGGTGGGGAGAGAGATGTTCCTTGATTCTCTAATACATCTGTGCCAATATCTTCTTTCCAATGACAATAACAGTACCTTGGAATCTAGCCAAAATTGCTACAACTGAGAAAGTCTCAGTTTTCTATAAAAAGTTCTACTTTGTCCCAGTTCCCCATCCCCAATTCTGAGTTTTCAGTATTGTCTACATTTTTTCTCTTTTGTAGCCTCTTTACAATTCCCGTCTGCCATTTCCTTTGGACTATATAACAGGACCAAATCATGGTTTGTAACTTTAGTTTGCATTCAGAGCTTAAACCAGAGTTTCTTGAATGAAATGTTACGGGAAACTGCTTTAAGGAATTCCAGAAGTATTATATTAAGATACAAAGGAGAAATGAAGGTGAAGAGTAAGACTATGGAAACACTCTGTTTCAAACTTTATTATGGCACATTACTCCCAGAAATCCAACATAATAAAGGAAACTTGACATATAAAACATTCAACAATCTACTTTATTAAACAAAAATTGTTAACATTTGGAATGAACCAACTTCGGACATAGTGGTTTGTAGAGTTGTAGTTGCAGGAATGTTCCAATCTCGGATGGCAAACCTCAGATAAAGAATGTTTCCAAGCAAATACAACTCAGGTAAACAAAGTCACTAATCTAAAGGAGGATTAGAGAGAGGAAGTAAACATATGTTAGACTTTAACTAGAGATAATTAATTGTATGGATTACTGTGCTAAACAGAAATGAAAGTTAAGCAGTAACCAAAGTTAACCAGTGATGGAGGATAACTAAAAATGTGTATAAATGCAAGACTAGACTCCAATAAAGATCATCATGATTCAGTTGTTCATGATCAAACAACTCGACTGCCTCGTCATTACAACAGTGGTTGTGTATCATACTGCTATTAATTACACAGCCCACTCAGAAATATAAGAAAATCAAAACTGTCTATATCTCTTAGGGAATCTCTTAGGGATGCAATTGCTTAAATTGAAATGATCACTTTCTACAAGAGACAATCCTACGTAAAGTTGTCTTGAAAATAAAGCATTTTTCTTCAATATTGCAACTCCTATTGCAGACTTTCACACAGCTTTTTCTTGGAAACCAACTTGATTTTAAAGCATAACAGTTAATTGATTAGCTGTAGCTATTCATTCTCATACTTATTTTTCACAATATCTTTTTTTCCCTCCCTAGTGTATATCTAAAGCATATTTATATGCATGCTCAAGATTTGTTTGCTTGAACGGATGAAGTATTTTCAATCTATTTTTTTTTATTACTTCACCCATTGTGATTGGTTTTATTTAAGAAAAATCTATTAGCATTACCAGAAATATCTAAAACAAACATTACAAGTAAAATCTACCGTAATTCTGACTCACTTCAAATAGTATTAAATATCCTCTCTGATGTACATGCAGCTTTACTGCTTTTTCAGGTTATCATGTGCAGAGTGTCCATGTGCATGCTCTAGGCAGAAGTCCTATGGATGTTAGGTTTAATTTGCTGCTCCACATAGTCAGCCTACTTTCTCCTCATGTTAGTTTCACACCATACTCATCACAATGTGCTGGCTCAACTACCGTACGTCCTCCCTCTTTTTCCAGTTAGGACATCTCTTTTTCCACATGGCATCATTCCCTTTGAGAATTGGAGCAATTTGTTTGCTGAGACAAGAGTATTCTCTCTAGAACTTGGTGATAATGAAGAGAGAACTAGATAGGCGGCGCAGAGCTGCCAACTAGAAGCAAAAAGCTGACACCAAATATTTGGTGCAGGTGCCCTTCACACCCAATGGTGAGAAATGAGCAGCACAAAATCTGCTACTATGTAACGACAGGTGAGATTTTAAGTCTTGAAGCTGCTATAAATAGCAGACTTTCTTGCAAGATTCTGTAACGGCCAATTGTCTCATTATTTCAGTTTTGTTTGTAAAAGTGACTCTTACAAAAACCTTTCTTCCGTAGCTAGCTGAGCAAGGAATGCTGAGTAAGTTTCTTCAGAGGGATGTACTACTGTCTCTTGCGTGAAGGTCTGACATTTCCTGCGTTTAAAGGAAACAGTGTTCTGCCCTTATTTTTGGAGGACCCCGAAGTATACTTTGTGGAAAGCCACCTACAGTTACCACTCCTAGGATTCTTCAGTGTTTTTATATATAATGTGATAGGCTATTTTTCCAGTAAGCCTCTCCAAAAAAAATAATAATGCACATACAATGCACATACAACATTAACTTACACAGAATAAATCTAAGGCTCATTATCATCTTCTTCCAATTTTTCTTCAGGAAAAGAAACTTAGGACCTTATTCCTTAGCCTATTTATTTAAGTTTAAAAATCTTTCTTCCAAGTTAAATTGTTAAAATTGATCTGAATAAACATCAGTAATTTGTAAGCGAGGACTGTCCTGTTGTGTTCCATTTGCTTTTCTTATAAAATAACTGAAGCATAAGATATTTGATTTGACTCTCCCTATAGCAAGGCAATCAAACTGGGATATTTCTGTTTCAACCTATTTATTCTTTCCTCAAACGTGATCGTAGGTACATCTCAATGACTGGTTTATTCATAATCTCAACATTATTCAAATTAATATTTACAATTTGATACTGCCTATATTAATATTTCCATTTTTAGGCAGTATAATACAGAATTGCTTTCCCTAATATATGAATCCAGGCATAGCATTATCCAAAATATCAGGAGACCAAGTTGGGAACTGCTGGTATTCTTGTTGGGACTTGAAGGTTAATATCCCTCTGAACTATGTTTCAAAGTGTCCTTCCTTTAAATCCCTCAGTGCTAATGTATCTCACAGAGCCGTCTGGCAGGACTGAACAAAATTCTATGTGTGCTCTTAACAAAAAGGAGAAACCAACACAAAAACATATGCACAAATTTTAGAAATTTACTGTTAGAAAAGATGTTCATTCTAAGACAGATCTATCATGGTGATCTGAATTGAAACTTTAGCTTTTTATATTAGTAACTTAAACTTTCTGCAGGAACTTCCAATAATCTGTTTTGTAAAGAAAAAGCACGTCAAAATGTTATGTGTATTTTGTTAACATAGTTCACATCATATGTATGTACACACCTGTGCTGAGTTAGGAAAAGGAATACCTTTTTCTAACAATCCAATATGGTTTGTTGCAATTCTGGTTGAATTGGCTAATGGTGTAACAGGCAATGTACATGCCATGGTGCATTTAACAATTTTGTTCGTGAGTGAATATCTATGTATTAAAGTTAACTTAAAGAATATTAATGACTTAAAATTATTAAGGAAGAATAACTATTCCAATTTAGAATCTTTCATATGTACTGTATTACAATGCCCATCAGTCCCAGCCAGCATGCATACACCCATTGGTTAACAGCAATAGGACTTCTAGCTGTCAGACCTATTCCTGAAGCACATTTGAGAAAAAGCATGTAGCCAGTGATTATTGGGTCAAAGAGTTAAGAGGCTTCCTGACTGTAGAAATATAAGGCAGACATAAAAGTGTGGAAAAAAAGAAGCTCCATACACTCCGATGTCGGATGAGAGACGACCTAAAGAATCTCCTTCTGTCAATCATTCATACAGAGGCACACAGTTTGCAATGAGCAGCATGCACAAGTCAGCAGGATGTCACTTCTAAAGTTTTCTTTTCCAAATCAGAAGGATTTATTGCATCTTATTCACTTTACAACCTGCCTCTCCCAGCTATTTCCCTACCTTTTCCTGCACCGAATGAGAACGAGCAAGTTTACGCATTAGATATATTCACAAAGTTAGCTTACAAAATTCATTCTGAATTCAAAAGAGGGACACTCTAAGAGTGCAAGTTGTGTGTGGAGTCTGCTCAGAGTTACGGAAACAGGAGCGTGCAAAACAGCAGCCTCTCATCTAAACAGGATAAAAACAGACAGTGCTTAGCCTGGCCTTAAAAATAAAGTCTCAAATAGGACTACAAGGGCTCAGATCTTGCAGTCACATCCCCTCTGTTCTTTGCCCTTACTCCTCCAGCACCGCTAAACGGGCATCCAGACACGTCTTGAGTTTGAAATGACTGACTGACCGTACCTCTGCGTGGCAAGAGTCCGTACTACAGTTGATAGCAGCTGTCCGTCCTTGGCCGAAACTTGCATGACATACTGCGGCTGTCCATTCACAAGACTGCTACAGTCCTCCACAGTCTTTACCACAGGAGTGGCTGGGCTGGTGCAGTCTGGTAAGACTTCGGGCAGGTGACTGCAGCGGCTGGTTGTCATGGTAACAGACAGCAATTACTCTGCTAATGGCTTCCACATTCATACAGGATTTCCATCTAGGAAAAAAGATTAGAAAACCATTTATTGAAGAGCAGGCTGCAAAGACTGAATATAGACCACCTGCATCTTTATTCATTAATATTCACAGAACTTAAAACAGCATCATTTCTTGTTATACCTTTTTTTGTGGTAAAACATAAAAGGGGAAAAGCAAAGACTGATAACAATGCAGAGAGCACCGCGATGTACAACGCTGTCTTATTGATTCTCTAGGAAAATGAGAGATTTTCTCTCTCTAGGAAAAAAATAGACCCATGTTCCTACTACTGGCGGGGGATGGGCAGCTTTGAAATGTGGGCTTGAGAAATTGCATCTCTATGAAGCAAGCGTGTTTGTTTCTTTATGTTTCTCCACAATCATCAGTGTCTTGATAAGAAATGGGAAGTCTCTTCATTGCTTCCCCTTCCTCTCCTCCACCTGTCTATCACCACAAAATACTTCTTGCTTATTGCACAGAGCAAAACAGATTTTCCTTTTGATCCCATCAATTAGATCCAAGCCTCTCCGCAAAAAGTTATGCCTTTCATGAGAAAGAGGACAAGAAACTTACAATCTCTCTCAGGGAATCATCCATTATTGCTAAGTGCATTACATCATCAAGCATGGAGCAAAACACTCAAATTAACGTTTAATGAGAAAAGGGCAGTTGAGCACCTCAAAATAGGAATAATATATGTTAGTTAAAAGGAGAGAGGGAGAAAACCAATAGTCCATGGGATTAGCTTTTATACATAAACGTGTTCCCGTTCATGACATGTAAATAACATGTAAATATGAGAACTAATTTATCAAGAAAATTCTATTCTCACTCTCAGTCAAGGTATTAGTGAGGGTGTTGCAGTTTCTTGAGATCTTAAGAATTGTGCTTATTACTATTTGCCAAATAGTGAAAGAGAAAACCCAGAGGTATTGTTATTTTTTATTATTCAATAATTTCATTTGTTTTAAAAATGGTACATGTCAGAGTCTGCCACAACTGGAAGTCAGCATAAAATGGAACAGTTTTTGGAATCCTCTTTCACAGATCAATGCAATATCTTACTGTAATATTTCCCAAAATATAAAAAAGAAAGTTGAATGAGGTGGGGGGAGTGTCACAAAAAGAGTCTTTTATTTTATGAAACTTTGGTAGAAGTATGACCTATGATCAAATATATATGCAGACTAACAATTCATCACTGTTCTGTACATAGTATATTCCAGTGCCTTTCATTACAGTGAATGCACACCTGATTTTTTAAGGAAAGATTACCTCACTCTGTTTGAAATAAAGTTTATTGGGCCTGACAGAGCACCAAAAAAGGAATTTTGGATTTGCTCACCCCTTTCCTTCTCTCAATTCTATGAAATTTGAACTGATCACATCTTGGTCATTTCACTTTATTAGCTTGATGTAATTGGCTGAATTATCAAATATAAATGCTCAAGGGGACTGGCGCACAACCAATGTACATTTAAAGCCATGATATAGCACCTTAAAAATTAATTACATTGGTTGTTTTTAATCTGTGTAACCTCAACGCATGGAAAGATTGAGGTCAACCTTGGATTAGCTTCATTTGATCACTGGGGTCACAGTCATATTATTGGGCACCCTAACTCTTGAAGAAACATTAGTGGAGGCAAGAAAATTATTCAGAATGTCTATATAACATGAATGATGGCTCAGGTGTTTTGCATGTTTACAAAATATTAAGGAATACATGTTTGAGGAAAAACTACCCTTATTTTAGTGGCTGTTTTAGCTTTGAAGAAAGTGGATATTCTCCAGGGAACCTGAATGCTACCAAGGAATTACTACTATGTGGTAGTGCCAATGCTCTGAGGACAAGGAAGAAAAAGAGTAGCCTCCTGATCCAGATTTCCAATAAAACAGAACAAATAACACATTCTGGTACCATCAATACTAAAGGGAATTCAGAAGAGTGCAGACTTAACAGAATGGTCTCATCTCCTACAGCATATGGACATGGATTATGAGCTACATTTTAGTTTTGAAATACATGCTGAGACTGTTCAGTGAGCGTATGCAGCAGCACAGTAGCTGCCTCATTAAACTTAAATAGCCTAGACAGTGCTGTGCTTACAGATCCATGCTATAGAATTCTACATTTTCTTCCTTGATGCTTCACTGACCTCATTATGTACAGCAGCAAGATTATAATTCTGCAGAAAGTGACCATCCGTAGTTTTACAAAGGTTTCCGTCAATCAGTGAGGAGTGTTTCTTAACTACCAAATGACGCAGCTAAGAGCAAAACATTAAATGCACCCAACTCTCTTACAATGGCTGCTAATTAAAAATAATAAAAGTTCTGAGCAGCCTGCCCAGCATGCTACATTTAAACATATTTGTTACATATTAAAAAATAGTTTTAAAAATTTAAAACTGTCATTTGTCCTATTATGGATGTAGAAGATTTGAGCGGCTAGAAAAGAGCACAGGGGAAGAGATTGGCTGCTGAAAAAATTTCATGGATGACATGACCTTTCAAACCAGATCAACGACAGAACTCTGACTGGGTTAACAATCCTTCTTTCCCTTCTTCTTTCCTATCCTGGGTCAACCAAGCGAGAATTGTAAAATGAACACCAATCTCAAACATTTTTTTTATAAAAAAGTCAGCGATGACAAATTCTATGATGTAATTCTCTGAAACCAAAAGAACTGCTTAGATTGTTTCTCACTATTGTCTCTAAACGCGATGCCTCATGCAGTATACATCTGACAACACTATAAATGATAAACTACACATGTTGAATTCTGAGGTAAATATCAAAAATTGTTCTGAGAAGACCTATGGACATCAACCTATGCCAAAAAATACCCCCCCCCCCCAAATCTTGCCACTTAATTAATTTCTATTGTCACATTTGTTGTAACTGTTTTAAAATTAAACATATGGAAATTGCTTATTGGGATCAAATACAGAATCAAATATGTGCTTTAATTCAGAATTCCCGAAACAAATAATTGGAAGTACAGTTAGTCCTCAAGTTACGAATGTAATGGAGCCTGCCAATTATATTCTTAACTCAAGGATTTGTAGGAATGAATCATGTAACTTGACTGAAATCACTCCCTGATTTCACCCACACATTCGCTAATCAAATATGTGGGTCATTAAGTACACATGATGGGGAAGGCCATTGTGTGGGGGTGGGGGCTAGTGATGGAACAGGGCATCTATTGTAAACTACAGAATACAGAATAACAGAGTTGGAAAGAAGCTCTTCTAGTCCAACCCCCTCCTCAGGCAGGAAATCTTATACTAGTTCAAGGTTGACTCAGCCTTCCATCCTTCCGAGATTGGTAAAATGAGGACCCAAATTGTTGGGAACAATATGCTGACTCTGTAAGCCACTTAGAGGGGGCTGTAAAGCACTGTGAAGTGGTATATAAATGCTATTGCTATTTCAAACAAATGGTTGTCCAATCTCTTAAAAACTTCTAGTGTTGGAGCACTCACAACTTCTGAAAGCAAGTTGTTCCACTAATTAATTGTCAGGAAATTTCTCCTTGGTTCTAGATTGCTTCTCTCCTTGATTAGTTTCCATTCAGGGGTGAAATTCATTTTTTCCCCTATTGGCTCTGTGGGCATGGTTTGGTGGTCATGTTACTGGGTGGGTGGGCGTGGCCAAGTCGACATCACTTGGCCTCTCATGTCTCCTGTCATTTCTCTCTCTCTCATCTCTGTCTCCCTTTCTCTCTCTCTCTCTCTCTCTGACACTTTTTTTTGGGGGGGGGGAAGCAAAGGTTTTGTGATAAGCGGCAAGCACCGCTTGACTAAGAGGGGAGGGGTGAGGAGGGTCTCTGGCAGGAGGAGGAGAATTGGTGCCTCCCCCATCTCTCCCCTGCTCCCTCCTCACTTGGTGGTCGCGGGGCTTGGTACCTTCTCCCTCACCCGAGCTCCTGGCAGTTGAGTCAGCCGGGCTGAGGGCCCAAGCAGTCCCAATGGGTTGGCTCTCTCTGTTTGCCATGGAAACCACCAGCCGGGCTCCCCTTGCAGGCCACAAAGTGCTTGCCACCCCTCTGGCACCCATCAAGCCTCCTCCTTCCCTCTGGGCATGCGAGCGCTTCCGTCAAAGAGAAGCACAGTGGGGAGGAGGTTGGGCAGATGGCAGCGTGTCAGTGAGTGCTTTGCAGCTCCTGAGGTGGGCACGGGAGATTGCACGCTCCCCTCAGATTGCACGCTCCCCTCAGACCAGGGAACTCCTGGGAAGGGCTGCGATGCCACAATCTCCCTGCGCTACTCTCCCTCCCCACACGCATCAGTCCACCCACCTGTAGCACCCATTGCCAACACGGGTGTGACTGGATGGGCATGGGTGGGGCCAGCCAGGGTGATTGTTTAGTTCAGCGAACCAAACCCAATCCTCCCTACCACTTCGTGCAAGGTGGTGCAAGGTGTTTAAATTTCACCCGTTTCCATACCTTGCCTCTTGTCCTGCCTTCAGGTTCTTTGGAGAATAGATTTACTTCCTCTTCTTTGTGGCAGCCCTTTAAATATTGGGAACACTGCTATCATGTCACCCCTAGTCCTTTTCATTAAATGATAGACGTATCCAATCCCAGCAACTTTATATGTTTTAGTCTCCAGTCCCCTAATCATCTTTGTGCTCTTCTCTACATTCTTTCAGGAGTCTTAACATCTTTTTTATATTGTAGTAACCAAAGCTGGATGCAGTGGTATTAACATTTCACGTGATCTTGATTCTGTCCCTGTTAATGCAGCTTTTTTGGCAGCTGTAGCACACTGCTGGCTCATATTTAACTAATTGTCCACTAGGACTCCAAGATCCCTTTCATAGTTACTGCTGTTGCACTAGATACCACATATACTATACATGTGTATTTGATTTTTCTTGCCTAAATGTAGAATCTTACTTTTCCCCCCATTGAATTTTGTTTTGTTAGATAGTGCTCAATGTTCATGTCTGTCAAGATCATTCTGTATCTTAAGCCTATCTTCTGAAGTGTTGGCTATTCCTGCCAG